TATATTGGTAGAACTGGCCACGGACTGTCACCCTGCTCTGAGCCTTAGAAAACATACCAGTACTTGGTGGGGGGGAACTCTTGTAGTGAACTTTGATATTTTTTTTTAGTGAAATATGACAAATTACAGGTCAAGTATAACAGAGGTGGAACAATCACTGTCAGAACCCTGCCTAATCTAGTTGCTTAAGTGTTACAACCTGCCCAAACTACTTATTTATTTAAATATTTATATCCCACTTTTCCTGTGACTCAAGGCAACTTACAAATAATACTGAAAAGCATAATGGGTACACAAAAAAAAATCTATTTCCCCCCAGCTCCATTATAGGCTATGGGGACCATTATAATCAATGGGCCCTATAGGCTATAATGGAGAATTGATCTGGGGTTATCTGGGGCTTGGGGGGGGCTGTTTTTTGAGGCAGGGGCACCAAATGTGCAACATAGCTGCTGGTGCCTTTCCTTAACCCCCAAAGTTGCAAAAAGATTGGCAAGGGGGGGTCTAATTCTATGGGCCCCAGAAGGAGTTGCCCCTATCCTCCATTGTTTCCAATGGAGGGAGAAATGCCTTAGTGTGAGCAGAAGCTTACAATCCCTGAACTGGCAGCTAAAATTTTGTGCACCAGCACTCCTCTAAGCACAGCTTAGAGTGAACTCTGCTTTGGAGCTTACCTCTGGGTTGGGCTGGTCTGACTGAGCTCCGAGAATGAGTTCTGAAGGCCTCTATAGGCTGTTGGAGCTCACTGTTGGAGCTCAGTCCAGTTAGGCAGCCTGACTCAACTGAGCTCACAGAGTGAGCTCCAAAGGCTGACCTCACACTTGCAGCTCAGATGGGATGGCGACCCGGCGGTAGGCTCTGAAAGCATTTAAATGCCTTTGGAGCTCACTTCCAGATTGGGGGCCCCCACAAACTTCTGAAGCACCAACTGATTCATGCAATGGAGAAGTTCATGGAAGCTCATGGTTCGTGAAAACCCCTGAAGCATGAACTTCCCTCCACTTTTCCCTAGACACCATCCCTAGACATAACCCTATTCAAAGATTCCAAATCAAAGTAGAAGTACAACTTAAGTGTAGGGGGAAAGAAGAATCTCTGTTGAAGATGTTATTTGAGAATGCTGAAAGTCAAAGCACATTAATATAAGTATTCTAGCTATTCAGACTCCCTTTAAAGCAGCAAAATGTTTTCACAAAAACATTACGGTTGATCTTGTGTTCAGTAAAACTCAGCCTGTATGTTGCAGCCTTTATATATCAGTGCCTTTTAAATTGTGCTTCTCTTTTTATTGACTGTAGCTAAAATGTTGTGGAACCATCCCAAAGTTTTCAGGTCTTTTTTTGTGATCTTGTGTTCAGTAAAACTCAGCCTGTATGTTCAAGCCTTAATATATCAGTGCCTTTTAAATTGTGGTTCTCTTTTAATTGACTGTAGCTAAAATGTTGTGGAGCCATCCCAAAGTTTTCAGGTCTTTTTTTGCCAAGTGCCATGGTTTCATGTAAGCATTTCCATGGAACATATCTTCTAGTATCTACAGATATTCAAAAGTACCATGTGAGACACTGTAACCAGAAAATCCGTCATTCCTCCAATGAAGAGTCATTATGGGAGGGGGAGGTAAAGATAAGGCACAGAAATGTTTGGGGAGGACAAGCAACAAGTGGAAAAGATTTAGATTTTTTTTCCTTTAAAGAAGGAAAGAGGACAGAATACAGCAGAGAAAAAATAATTCAACAGAAGCAAAGCTAAAGACATAGAAGAAAAATCAATCAGTAAAGCCAAACAAAGAAACAGAGTAACAACCATAAGGCAGTGAACAAAAAGAAAAATCCACTGAAGAGCTCTATCACTGACATTGGAGAAAACACCTCTGGTTGAACAGCAGCTGTCCTACTCTCTCTAATTCCTCCAAATCTGCAGGAAGTCCTTTCCTGAAGCCTTAGGAAATATGGTTGCTGTTAAATAATGAAATAAATGCCCCGTGGTATGGCGTAAATAGTCAGGGAACTTATCCAATCATGCAGAATGGATGCATATTCAATAGGCACTCCCAAATAGGGGTGTGCATTCAGTTTATCTGAATAGATAAAATACCTGAGTATCTTTAAACCAAATGCAGATCTCCGATCTGTATTCAGCTACTGATATAGCTGACCCCCCAAAAAGCCCAATTTCCCCCAGCTTTTGTTAGCGTGCATTCAGCTATACCAAGAAGCCCTCTCTTTCAAACCAGCAGCAGCAGAGCGATTCAGCAAGTGACCCTTCTGAGTTTATTTATTTAATTTATACCCCACCCTCCCTGCTGAAGCAGGCTCAGGGCAGTTTACAAGAGCAACACAAAAACAGTAATAACATAAATAAAACCATCTAAAAACAATTCAAAACATAAAGTGGTAGCAAGTTGTAACTATACATTAAGGATGGCGGCAACGGTTACTTTGTTCATCAGTTCTTGATCTTTATCACATGCTAGTAAGAAGGCCCATTGCGGAAACAAATGCAACGAGCTCTAGAAAGAGAGTCTGCAGAGAGAAAGAGAGTCGGAGGAAGGGATGGACAAATGGACGGGAAGGGGAGGAAAGACTGGGGTAGGACAACAGACTCAACCAAGGGAGCCGGACTCAGAAGAGCTCTAAAGTGAAATCTGCAAATGGGGGGAGAAGGGGTGGGAAGAGAGAGACAATCGGAGGGAGAGAGACAGAAAGAAATCAGGCAGGCAGACTGAGAGGGAGAACAGCTGGAAAGGGGAGATCCACAAAACAGACTGCAGGGGGAAAGGTCCCAATCCCAGCCTACTTCCTTGGAAGTTCTATTGCACTCAGTCGGACTTCCAGGTCAGTGTGCTGATGACAGGGGGACGGAGGCGGCGTCAGGAGGAAGAGAGAGATGGAGGGACAGACAGACAGGCTGGAGGCAGAGAGCAGAGCGAGGAATGGAGAGGACAGAGCAAGATCAAAAGACAGGCGAGGCAGAAAAAGAAAGTGGGGGGCATTAAGAAAGTGGATTGCGGATCCTTCAGGCGGTTCATGGCAACGTGTCACCCTGTCCATTTCGGCAAGGAAGGAAGATCCACTCGACAGAGAAAGCGAGGGAGCCTATAGGAGAGCTGTTGGGGATGAGTGAAAGAAAAGAGGCAGGAAAAGAAGCGAGAGATGGAGCCCTGACGGGGAGGTCAGCGTCGGGAACTGCACAAAGAGGCCTGCTCGTATCCTCCCACTGGCAGCTTCCGCCGAGCGTGATGCCACCGCGTCGCAGGATGGGAGCGGTGCTGAGTCGAACACTGCTGTGGCCGGGAGGCCAGGCCTCGCTCTGGGCAAGATGGTGGGCCTGGCGCTCACTGTCTACCAGAGGCCACTCATCCTGGCTGCTGAGCTGAAGTGTGCCCTGTGGGCTGCCGCCACCCGCCCCTCCCGGAGGCTGACCAGAACCCTGCAAAGGCAGCTGGGGGAGGCGAAGACAGGAAGCAGACAGACGCTGCCTTGGCAAAGGGGAGGCCTGACACTACCCGTCCCTCCCAGAGCCCTACCAGTGTTCTCAGAAGGCAGCTGGGGAGGCGGGTGAAGAAGGGGAGCAGAGGGATGGTGCCGTGCCATGCTGATGGCCCGCTGCCCTCAATGGCCATTCGCGGCAACTGCCG